TCTCTAAGCACTTGCTTTATATATCTGGGTGTTCCTGTATAAGGTACATATATATTTAGAATACTTAGCTCTTTTGTTGAATTGAACCCTTTACCATTATGTAATGCTCTTCTTCATCTTTTTTATCTGCGTTGGTTTAAAGTATGTTTTGTCAGAAACTAGGATTGCAACCACTGCTTTTTTCTGTTTTCCATTTGCTTGTTAAATTTTCCTCTGTCCCTTTTTTTTGAGCCTATGTGTGTCTCTGCACATGAGAGGTTCTCTTGAACACAGCATACTGATGGGTCTTGGCTCTTGATCCAGCTTGCCATTCTGTGTCTTTTAATTGGGGCATTTAGCCATTTACATTTAAGGTTACCATTGCTTTGTGTGAATTTGATCCTGTTACCATGATGCTGGCTGGTTATTTTGTAGACTTGCTTATTTGGTTGCTTCATAGTGTCAGTGGTCTGTGTCCTTTAGTATGTTTTTGTAGCAGCTGGTAACAGGTTTCCTTCCATATTTAGTGCTTCCTTCAGGAGCTTTTGCAAGGCAGGCCTGGTGGTGATGAATTCCCTCAAGATTTGCTTGTCTGAAAAGGATCTTTTTTCTGCTTCCCACTTAGTTTGGCCAGATATGAAATTCTAGGTTGGAAATTCTTTAAGATTGTTGAATATGGGCCCCTACTCTCTTCTGGCTTGTAGGATTTCTGCTGAGAGGTCTGCTGTTAATCAGATGGGTTTTCTTTTGTAGGTGATCTGGTCTTCCTCTCTGGCTTCCCTTAACATTTTTTCTTTCATTCTGACCTTGGAGAATCTGATGATTTTGTGTCCTGGGGTTGACCTTCTTGTGTAGTATCTTTGCTGGAGTTCTCTGCACTTCCTGAATCTGAATGTTGGCCTGTCTTGCTAGGCTGAGGAAATTCTCCTGGATGATATCCAGAAGTATGTTTTCCAACTTGGTCCCATTTTCCTCTTCGCTTTCAGGTGCCCCACTCAGTCATAGGTTTGATCTCTTTACATAATCCCAAATTCCCAGAGGTTTTGTTGATTCTTTTTAATTCATTCTTTTAATTACAACTTTATATTGTTCAAACCTATAGCATATAGGTAATGACAACATTATTTAAAAGGCAATTTTGGATCTTCATTTTCAACTTCCATTTATTTCTTTGTTGTTGTTTTATTCTCCTGCTGCTTTCTCAGAGGTTTTTTAGCATAACATTTCTACTCCTCGCCAATTCAAGGGGAATGCACCAGGGTGCCATATGCTCTGAGCCGCCTTTGCAGCAGCAGGGATAGATTTGCTCATGCTCCAACCTCTCTCTCGAGCTTTCCTTTAGGTCAGGTGTATGAGGCCTGGGTGAATGTTGTGGCAGTGGAGCAGGGCATCATAGACAAGTGATTCACTCATTTCACGTGTTAACCCCCTGGGCTGTGAGCTAAGGACAATGTGAAAGCTACAGAGAATAAATCCTTTAGAATTTCTATCCCCTTGTTAAGAGACATGCAAGAAACAAAATTATATAACTGTATAATAGTGTTCTTATTATGGATCTGATTGAGAATTCTTAACAGATTAGCAACACCCACAGTGGACATTAATATGTATAATTATCCTTTGTGGTGTATCTAGCAACTATAAAAATTATTTCTGGGTTTTGGAATTGCTTGTTTTCAAAGTTTCTCTTCCAAAAATGTATTCTGGGGACCAAACTACAAGATTTCCTGGTTGCTCAGAATGCAATAAATACTACTAATAATATATTTCCAAAAACATAGTATGGTAAATATATTGCCTCTGTAAGGTGATAAACTGCAAATCTATTAAATAGCTGGTCCTGTCTTACTAAAGTAGGAGACCAGTAATGGTATTAGGTTTTCACTTCAAAATCATTGGTTTATTCTGTTGTACCTGCTGGCCATTTTTGAATTGTGTCATGTAAATTTTTAGGATTACACAAAACAATCTTCTCAGTGCTCATGTACAATAAATAGACGGTTCTGCTTTCAAACTACAGTTTTTCACTTGGTTAATGTCATACAGAGTAGAAGACTTGGAATGTTACATTTTTTTGTGGGAGAATAACCTATCTTTCTTTTAACATTCCTATTGCTTTTTTCTTTAGAGTCATATTCAGATTTCAGAACATCTGTGACCATTACTCCTGTTAACCAAGCAAAAATGATTTCTTCTAGATTGTGTTTCAGGGAGTAGTTGTAATTTTCTCTAATAATATATAGTAACCTGGAATTTGTATTTTTAATCTTTCATTTGAGTTACTAGGTATGGTTTTTAGGTCTCTATTTAGTTTTAATTATTCATAAATCATTTCCGTAAATAAGCAAATGTAATCAAGTTCCAAGTAAATAATACTCATTAAGTTGACAACTGCATAAAATAATGAGTTATAAAATGGCTATTATTTTCATATACCATGTTGAGTATATATAAGAAAGGAATGGGTATCATAAACCAGCAATTTGTTTTCTTCTAGTATCATTTTAACATTTATATCTTTATTTAGTGACATCCTGCCTATAAAAATGGATCTGTCAGCAAGGCTACTAGAGTACACTTCTCAGACCTATAAGAGACTTTGGTCCCAAGAAATACTGTGAAGTGGCTGTACTTTTAAAAAGTAGTAATGAAATAACAGAATTATTAAAGCATGGTAAGTATTATAAGGAATGTACAATTTGAAACCAGAACAGTAATTACTGAAAAAGCTTTCAACAGGCAATAACTTGATAATTCAGGTAATATTATCCAAAGGAAAGTTAAGTATACAGGAACTTAAGGATCACTGAGCAGTATCTAGAGGGATTTTTGGTTGTCACAAGTTGGGGCAGTGCTAATGACATCTAGTGTGTAGAAGTTAAGTATGCTGATAAACACCCAAAACACACAGTACAGTCCCACACAAAAAAGAATTATCCAACCAAAAAGGTCCTGAGGGCCGAGGCTGAGAGGCCCTGGACTACAGCAACTATACTATAAATCCAACATGGAATGCCTCCCAAATAAAACTGGTTGACCTCTGTGAATTTCACACAATAAAATTTTTATTAAAGGTGATAGATAGCAGTGTGATACTGTGGATTTTGTACTCAAAGTCTTGTCTTTTCTAACTCTTAAAATGTTTTAATAATTAAAATATGGCATATCAATATCTTCCAAAGTAATATTTAGGGAAACTATATGCTTCCTTCTTAAGATGAAACTACAGTCTACTTATGAAACACAGGGAAGTTTGCCCAAACATGCTCACTTGGCTTTCTTATTTGTGATTCTGCCACATTTTTTTTGTTGTTGTTGTTGATAAGATGATTTACCGGCAAATATATGGGTGGCATGGTATTTTTCTGCCTAATATCTTAAATGTGGCATTAACTTAATTCCTGAGAAAGTGCATAATCTTCATGGTAAAATAATATGGAGGATTACAAGGGTCTTATGCAAGTGTTCTTTTGACTTGTGACTTTTAAACACGAACTCTGCCAGCACAGAGCCCTGAAAGGACCAAACATGCACATGATGAAATACACAAAACATCTGCTCCAATCTCCATCTAGTATACACATATTTTTATTTCTAGGAGGTCTTTAAAAAGTAAAAGAAACCCAAGCCTTTATTTAGTTCCTCACTGACCTTTTTCCTTGCACTCTTTCACACAGGGATGTTCACAAGTTTTGAGAACAAATTTAAGAGTTCAAAGAAAACGAGAGTAAACCCTGGAGAGCAGAAGACATTCCAAAGTGGTAAATGTAGGCTGAAAATGTAGTATCTGAATCTGAGGGGCTCCAATCGTCCACTGTAAACACGGACCTACTAACTGCAATGAAGTATCACAGTAGTGTCTGATAGGTAAGACTCAGCATGAGCAGGCAATTGGAATTCATGTTTTCATTTCCTAAGTATATAATCTGTATAAACATATATTTGCATTAAAATGACCTGGTAGGAAGTATTTACCAAATTAAACAAGATTACTTTAAAAAATACAACCAAAATCAAGAGTGAGTAAAAACACTAAAAGTCGGAACTATGCTTAAAATCGCTACAGATTCTTTCATGGGTAAAGTTACCAAGTTCACAATGTATTCTGTTATTTCAGTGACAGCCTGGTTGCATTCCACGTTGGGAAGTAGTTACACAGCAAGATGACTCTACTATAAAATAACTTTTAGTTATTTTTGACTTTGGCATTTGTCTCAAGTGACTATGAAGAAAGGCTAAAAAAAGGCTAACAGAAACCTTTCTCCTCTTACAGTTTTCTACCTTGATCTGGTGACTTTGAGCAAGCTACCTAACCCCTTAGTGTCTTAGTTCCCACACTTATAAAATGGCCACAATAATGGCACTTCCCTCACAAAGCTGTTATGAGGATGAAGTGAGTTACACACCACACACCCGTAGCAGGGCCTGGCACAGCAAGTGCTCTTAAACACCGTGATTACTGTTTTCTTCTGCTAATAATCGGACAGTGATCACCCATGTGGATGCTATACTATGAGAGACAACTCTCTCATGGCCAGTAAGTCAAGGCAAGAGCCTGTTTCTGCCCCTATCTTGGGCATCTAAAAGTTAGTGATGGTTTCTTATTTATTTGTCTTTGCAACCCTGTCTTGAGAACAGTGACTTAATTGTAGAAGTTCAGTGAGACATTTTCAATCACCTCTCCATCAAATTAGTATTTTACATTAATAGTTTGTTCCTTCCTACTCAATCCAATAATTGGTCTCTTCTTGTATAATATACTTAAATCTAAACAAGTAGGCACATCTGACATTTATGTGATTTATCTTTATCCAAATACTAAGACTGCCCCATTACTTCCTAACTGACCTAAAGTTAGAAATAGTCTGTTTTCAAAATGTGATAAAATAGAATTGGTTCCAAGAATGCCTATAGTTTCAAACCATGTCATTTCAGCTTCAGATGTCAAATAAAAACCATATTTCCTAACATTGAAAAAACAATAATATTCTCTCTTTGAAGATATATTGGTGGTAACTTACTCTTTTAGTCAGCTGAGTATCCATCATGAAATTGTGCACGTGTTTTTCTGCTTTGGTAAGTTCTAGCTTCCTTGCCACTACAGCTACCACCAGGGCTGTGCAACCAGCACCCTGAAATCAAGGAGAGAAGAGAACCCCAAAGCGTTACTACTTTCTGTTTCAGACACATTAGAAAATGTTTTGTATCAAATGCAAAAGTTTCTCAGCATTAAAAAAATTGTCTTCAGTAAGTATTACAGAAAACGTGTGAGCAACAAATGTAAGCAATGTGCCTTAAACTGGGATTAAAAATGTAGTTTACATATTTTAAAAACAAAAGCATATTTGGAAAAAACATTTCCTGAAAAGAAATAAATGGCTTAAAATCAACTTGGTGAATTTTTGGAGACTTCTTAAAAACACAGCAAATCAGTTATATATCTATAATTATAATAGGAACAAATAACAAATGACTAGATTAGCATAAATGTCTATGGAGTAGAAATAAGGATTTTTTTTCCATAAAGAATAAACCTCTAATTTTAAGATGAGAGCAGCAGGCCTTCAAGCTGATGAACTGCAATGCACCAGGAATGAAAGTAATAAATTATCTCAGCATAGACACAGCTTCAGAGTGCTCCACACACACACATGAGGAAGGATAGCAGGAAGATCACAGTGATCTTAACCTGAGCAACAGAGACATACGAAGTGCTGAAGGTAAGGGGTAACTATTATACTATTTTACAGGTTTACTAACATGACACTAGGAAAGTCATGGATCATCCTTATTTTGAAAAAACAAAACAAAACAAACAAAAAACCCAACAGTGTTCCTTTTCAAAATACAGACCACTATGTTGATCTCTTGCAAAAAGAGACTATGTGGTACTCTAAGAATTATAGTCCTACCGCTCTGTGATCAAGGTGTACTTATTCCAAGTTGTGAGAGTCTTCTTTGCTGAAAAACCACCAGCTACTTGCAGGCCAGGGGACAAATCTGGGGCACCATTTGGAGGGCCCAGGCAAAGGTCATAGTGCTGCAGCCACTTCATCAGTCCCGGGCACAGCAAACCTCCCAGCAGGGAAGGGGCACATGAGGAACTACCTCAGGGGTCTGTGAGGGAAGTCACACCTCCAGAATCTCAACCCTAAGAGGCCCAAAGAAAGAGCCATAGACATTGCCAACTAGTCTCAAAAAACAGATAACAATGTAAATGGCTGGGCACAGGCAGAGCCCACTGGAGAGAAGCACAGAAAGTAGATGTGATTTAGCTATTCAGTTATAGACCAACGAATGCATCTTTGGGCTTACTGAATGAGTTGCTGCAACAAATCTGGCAGGAGGAACCAGACTGAGAAGAAAAGGAGAGAAAAAATACACTGCCTGATGATTATGATCATGAAAACTTGGCCATAATGATTAGCCAATACTGTTTTAATATATTTCCAGAGGACTTAAATAGCCCGTTCCATCTAGTTATATGAAGAAATCAGTATCCTCAGAAAGAAAGTGCTACTGATCACATGATCAGAGAAAGAGGTTGCCAAGTATTTAGACATTATCTGATTTAGCCCTCTGAATTTACAGATGAGACAACTAAAGCAGAGTAAATTATTATTCACTTTATGAGTATATAAAATATGCAGTTATAAACCTTGATTAGCACTGATAGATTTCCTACTCTTCATCTCATAATATCTATATCTATATTTAGGATCACATACAGTTGAATCTCCATATCCATGGGTTCCATATCCATGGATTCAACTGGGTTGAAAATCTTTGGGGAAAAAAAATGGATGGATGCATCTGTACTGAACATGTATAGACTGTTTTCTTTTGTAATTACTCCTTAAACAATAACAATATTGTTTAGCTACTATTTGTACAACATTTACATTGTATTAAGTATTGGTAATCTGGAGATTACTTAAAGTACACAGGAGGATGTACCTAGGTTACATGCAAGTACTACACTATTTTATAAAGGACTTGAGCATCCATGGATTTTGGTATTCATGGCAGGAAGTGGTGTTCTGCACCTGAACCCCCATGGATACAAAGGGATGACTGTATATTCTTATTTGTGATTATGCCATAGCTATGATGCATATGAAGCACTGTATTTCAAAGCAAGACAGGAAATTCAAATTTGTTTTATGTGATACTGTTGTAAAGTATGAATGTCTAAAAATTGAGCAACATGGTTACCAAAATAATTAACATTGTTCCTATTATAACTAGCATAACTTTTAAATTGGTAGTTTTTAACCTTGACTATAAGTAGAATCACTTGGAGAGTTTGTAAAAATCCTAGTGCTGAGACTGTATGCCTCACAGCAAATCTTCATCTACAGGTGTCTGAATTTTTTTTTAAAGCTTTCCAGGTGATCCCAATGTACAGTCACTGCTTTAGATAGAGGAGGATATGGAGTGACTATGACAAACTCCATAAACCTTCTATTAAAACAAGAGGGTCAAAATTCTTATCAGAGTCATTTGACTGGCTTATGCAAACATTCAAGAAATGATAAGTGGACTGGCACAGTGGCTCAAGCCTGTAATCCCAGCACTTTAGAAGTCCGAGGCGGGTGGATCACGAGGTCAAGTGATCGAGACCATCCTGGTCAACATGGTGAAACCCCATCTCTATTAAAAATACAAAAATTAGCTGGGCGTGGTGGCGCATGCCTGTAATCTCAGCTACTCAGGAGGCTGAGGCAGGAGAATAGGAGAATTGCCTGAACCCAGGAGGCGGAGGTTGCGGAGAGCTGAGATCGTACCATTGCACTCCAGTCTGGGTAACAAGAGCGAAACTCCGTCTCAAAAAAAAAAAAAAAAGATAAGTAAAGTCAGAGGGTGTGATGTTATTTTGATATTTTGTGCCATATGCAGACAATGACAGTGAAGTATTTCAGAGCTGGGTACTAATGAAAGAGAAGAATGGCCTTTAGAAGCATCTCTACTCATTTTATTGACTTTCAAACAACTACCATGAAGTCTAATGAGTTCTCACAGGCTGATGAGACCAAATCAGTGACCACCTACGATAGCCATCTGCATCTACCTGCTGTCTGGTATAGCACATGCGCGACAAACCCAGGCTACCCTTTTGCAGATATGCTCCTAGCTACTCCTCAATCACTGAGTTCTATGGTAACGTGGTAGTTCAAGGCAGCAATGGTTCTTTAATAAGCAGAGGCCATAAAAATCTGAGGGGCTCCTAACTACTAGAGAGATAGCTAAGAGAGGGTAGTTGGCCCAAGAAGTTGAACTATTCTCTCCTGGCAGGTGACCTCTGCTGAGATCTTTCTGGAAAGAAATCATAATCCTAACACAAGTGGAAAATCACTGGTATCAAGAGCCTTGGAAAGTGGATTTTTATTTTTGTTTATTCTCAGGCTCTGTTCTTTTCTGCTATTGGCCCATTTCTCACCAGGTGTCCTCTCACTCACCAAAAGACATGTGCATTAAAATGAGTACCTCTGTTGCAAATTGGAAAAGAAAGAAAATCCAACAATTCAGTAATTATCAAGACTCTTATGTACATATCTCACTCCATTATCCTAACTCAACCCCTTTAAGTTATGCCTCCAGAGCCACTTTTTGTTCAAAAACAAACCCCTTAACTCGTTGTTAAGTTTTATTTTAGTGACGAAAACCATAAACCCATACCTCCCTGGATTCTTAATAAGTCATAAGAGAATCTGATATGTATAGAATCACATTTCAAGAAAGTAACCTTATTTTTTAATTTTTAGAGTTATGCAAGATGAAACTGGCTCACTTCCGAAAGCTTTCTAGGTTCAAGGTAAATTCCTGCCAACACATTCATGGTTATAGTAATTTAAGTAATGGCATAATATTATTGTCCACCCAGTGTCTATTTCCAGGACCATTCTGTTTCATAAAGCGAAATAAGAATGGAAATAATTATGATTTTACAACATTTTCTCCAAAGCTTGTCACCACCACAATCGATGTAGAAACAGTTGGGACTAACATATGTTACTCTCTGAAATTAAGATCCCTGTATGCATTTAACAAGATGAGTCATATTCCTTTCACCAAAGTCAGAAAATGTATCCTGGTTACTTTTCTCTCATTTCATTTATCTTCTTGGAAATAAACCTAAGCAAAATCACTAACCTGCCACTTCAAGATGCTTGAGCACCTAAAACCAAAATGAAAAAAATGCAGTGTAGTGTATTTAGGAAGTCAACATAGTAAAAGCAAAGGTTTAGGTTTCCTTTGCTTATCATCTTTCCTTCTAATGTTGAAAGAGAGAAAAAGGGAAAAGTTAAGGGAGGAGAAGGAGAAAGACTTTGCTTTAGAAAAGGTAAGTAATGACAAGTGTTGTTAATGTTCACTACCCTAAGCCAAGCCAGATCAAACAGAATAGACACATGACAATTAGTTACTATTACCCATGTACCTCTAGGGAAACCCCAACATGTGGAGAGTCTTAGATGCTGCCAAGTGAACATAAAATGTAGTGCTTTTCTCCACTGCAGCACAGAAACTGTAAGCCATGTTGAGCCCTTAGATGATAAAGAAGTTCAGGTATCCCATTTCCCTCAAAATCATGTATCACATATTTGAAAAATTCGAATAAGTGACATATTTTTACCCTAAATCACCTACTTATGCAGATCCTGCAAATAATTCCAAGAATCATTTTGAAAGACCATTTTGGGATCAAGCTTTAATGACTTAAGGATACAAGCCTATGAAAAGGAGAAATTGCTTCAATAGCACAGTGGGGAAAAGGTTTTGATTATTTCAATACTGAAAAAGACATCTTCCAAAGATTCAACATAATTAAAAAAATTTTTTTTTTTTGAGACAATGTCTCACTCTGTTGCTCAGGCTGGAGTGTAGTGGCGATATCTCGGCTCATTGCAACCTCCACCTCCTGTGTTCAAGCAATTCTCCTGCATCGGCATCCCGAGTAGCTGGGATTACAGGCGCACGCCACTATGCCCAGCTAATGTTTATAATTTTAGTAGAGAAGGGGTTTCATCATGTTGGCCAGGCTAGTCTCAAACTCCTGACCTCAGGGGATCCGCCCACTTTGGCCTCCCAAAGTGATGGGATTACACATGTGAGCCACCACACGCAGCCTGAA